AGAAAAAAAAAAAAAAAAAAAATAAACACATCTTAGTAAAACCAATTCGCATCGAAGCTAACATTATCTACTGCTATCCTTAAAAATATATATTATATATTATATTATATTATATATTTTGTATATTCATTACAGATATATTTTGTTGTGTTTTTTGATTAATTATAATTTATGAATGTTATGCATTTTATTTGTTTCATTAAAAATTATTTACTGGGATCCACGTTATATGTGCTTGTTAAAACATGGTATTTAAAATAATTACTTATTCATGAAGAAGTATGTAAAACATAGTTTTCTTAATTTATGAAATGAAAAATAAGTATTAATTTAAATAAATAATACTTCCCTTAAATTTGATTGATATAAATGTATTTACAACCTATTTATCTTATTATTTTAGAATTCAGCAACTCATTTATTAAAACAATCACTTTAACAGTAGACAATTTAAGTAATGATAAAAATTATGCAAAATGTCAATTTGTAAACTTTTTTTAATTTAATGAAAAACTATCTACAATACTTTATCAAAACTCTAATTTACCTATAAAAAATAAACTAGAGGACTTTGTTAACATTGTTATACAAAAAAGATAAAGTTAAATTTTGGTCTGAAAATAATTTCAAAATCCCAAAGTTTTAATTAGTATTTCTTACATCTTTTAATTTTATACAGGGTGATTTTTTTATCATAACCCACTCAATTACTTACAGAGTAATAATAATTTAAACATTTTTAGCTTCGATGCGAAGCTGAGAAGGTATTAATTTTACTATGACGCGTTTTTTTTACTATTTAATTATTAACTATTTAAAACTTTTTATGTCCATCCCTTATGCCTTGTAAGGGTGTAAACTTTGTTTTTTTTAATGGGAACACATATTTTGAATTTAATAAAATGTTTGAGTTTTTAATTTAATAGTAAATGGCATTTGAATTTTTAGTATAACCTTATTTATTTATTAGATATAAACACTTAAAAATTTGATACTTTAAATGTTTATATTTAATAAACTAATAAAGTTATATTAAAAATTCAAATGCATTTACTATTGAATTAAAAACCCAAACATTTTATTAAATTCAAAATATGTGTTTCCATTTAAAAAAACAAAGTTGACACCCTTACAAGGCATAAGGGATGAACATAAAAAGTTTTAAATAGTTAATTATTCAAGAATAATGTGTAACTAAAGAAAACTAAAAAAAAAAAAATATGTTAAATTATATTTATTCTGTAAGTAATTGTGTGGGTTATGATAAAAAAATAACCCTGTATACATTTTCTAATTCTTATGTACTTAAAAGCACTTATACTCTTATAGTGCTTATTTAGATATTTATTATATTTTTTATATTCATGATGTATTATTATATTAATATAACTGTTAGTGGTTAAATTATCTTAATAAGAGTTAATCTGTTATTAAAAAATGAAACTTAAGACAATTTGCAGTTCTTAATTCATGATTTACTCAAATTAATGTATATGCTTTTAAAGAAAATAACACAACTAAAATAGTTTTGTGAAGTTCTTTGTTACTATCGTAGGCATTTTCAAGGGCAAAGGATATGAGGATAATACCCTTTCACGATGAAAATAATTAAATTGCAAAGATACATATTTTCTTTTTTTGTAGAAAATAGTACAAAAAAAAGAAAAATGATGTATATACCCCTCCAGACAAAACCCTATGTAGGGTCTTGGTTATTATTGGTTATACAGAGTGTTCAGTAAGTAATATACTTAATAAATCACCTGTATAAAAAATATTTTATCAGTATATACATACTTATGTGTAAAGTAATATAACATATAGAATTACATAAAGTTCAGAAAGATCCTCGATATCAAACTTGAGATTTTACTGATATTATTAGTTAGTTAAAACATAAACACAAAAAAATTTGAATTTACTAGAACAGCTATTTAGCCTATATTTATTGATTACAATTACAAAAAAACTGTACAGATGTATCACCGTGATTTATTAATTCGAACAATTGATAGATATTCAAATAACTAAATAACGGCGGTACATTCGGTACATGAGCAGACATTTTATTATCAAAAACCTTTTTATAATAAAAACTGCTAATTCCTTAATTTATTTATTGTTCTTTAAACTTCGTTTTGTAAATATAATATTTATATAGAACGATAGATTAATACAGAGACTATTGTAGGCCATCTACACCATACGTGTATAGTGGGGTTGGTAATTGAAACATACTAATTTTTGCAGAAGGTACTACGCAAACATCGTTTAAAAGTGAATACACTTAAGTGTTTGCTAACAGTTCATTTCAGTCACTAGTAAAACAATCATCATTGCATAGTCCATCACTCCCGCCGTTTCATTTTTGTTTTGGATATAGTATATTGATTTAATTTTTCCTAACATGATTGGCGTTGGAGTTTGGTTTTTAGCATGGTTTTTTATATTATTGACTGTCTTGTTCTTTGTGCTTTCGTTGTATTATCGTTCAAGGTTATCAGATGAGTATAAGCAGATGTCTTCAAAACTTCCATCATTACCTCATGGATTATTGGCGGAACTAAAGATTTCCTATAAACACGCTACTCTTAAATCTACAGGTTGGTAAAACTCTAATGAGTTAGTATTAATATTTATTTTAAATTGGATAAACCATAAGAAAATTGAGATAATGGAAAAAATTATTTTATTTTTTCTTTAATTAACTAAAACGTCGCATGATTTACTAAGTTGAAAATTTGAACATTTTAACTAGAGGTAAGAAACGATACTATTTTTAGATTAAAATTAGGTTTAGGTTATTATGTTTTAAATAGTCTCAGTTCGAGACAATTTTATTTTATTTTTAATATATTATTTTTTTTATCTATTTGTTTAGCTTAAAAAGAACTTAGAATTAAAGGATAATAAACATTTTAAATGACCAATTTTTTTTATGAAAATTTGTTCAAGGTTTGTGCTTTGGTTTTTATATTATCAAAGGGATTTGGTTTAAAAATCGATTATTTAGGTCCTCGATTTTAAAACAAATACTTTTCAAAAACTTAAGCTCTATTTAATTTTACTCTATTCATTAACTAGGAGATCCTAAAATTAGATCCACTTAAATAGAAAATAATATATAAATAGTAATATTAATATAGTGGTCCATATTAGTCTAAAACTTAAATAGTTGTGAGAATACCAAAAAATCACTAAATATTAGTTTCTACAAATTTAAATTTATAAATAATTGTGTACACACTTATGAAAATCGTAATAAAGTTTACGTGAAAAAAAGATACTTAGTTGGCTAAAGAAAGATATTGTTATAGTGTAACTAACTATATAAAACTGCATTTATTTAGTATTCGAACTATATATTATAGTTAGCCAGCTATTAGTTTATTAGGAGTTGATTTGTCGCTATATTCACCGTAACTAAAAATAATTTTTACATAGAATACCTATTCTCTGTAAAAAAAAATTTTACAGTAAAGTATAAGAAATATATTATTGAAAAAAAAAAATAAATATACGGAGTACAAATATTTATTTTAAATTTAATAATATTTTATTAACTTAATAGTTCTTTTTGGCTAATGTTTTAGTTATTTTTTTTTAATACACATTTTGAAGAAAACCTTGTTAAAAAAATTATTTCTAGCATTCAAAAAAATTCTAAGACTTCTTAGCAAAATTAATCATAAACTCATATTAGATCACACTATGAATCACTTGTGGCTTTTATTACTGAATATTAAAAATGTTAATTTAAAACTAAGAAATATTTAACTCAAAAAGTCACAAAATTACTAACAAATCGCGAATACGTATTATCGCTAAACATATAGAGAGTATGTTTTTAGCGCTGACGATGGAACATAATTCTCGAAATACGTATACACGACTCTTTAGCCATTTTTGTGGCTTTTGATCATATTTGAACAATTAGTTCAATATCAAATTGAATATTAACGTTATTTTCTCCTCTAAATAACCATTTATTTGAAATTTGAATTTAATTCAAAATTTAATAATTTAAATAAATCTAATCGTACAATGATTGTAGTAATTTAGAAAGTAAAACCATTAAATTGTACTTATAATATTAACAATAATAAATAGGCTATACAGAAATTAACACTTTTTTATATTGTCGTACATCTACGGCACATTACATATATCTAATGGTTTTATTAAGCAAGAAATATAGTAAATTAATATTTAATGTTTCTAGAAATTTTAACTTTGCTAAAATTATGCAAAATAATTATGGCAAACTTAGTATTAATGGTATTAATTATGTAGTAGTTATTTTGAATGGTAATATCTTTTAAATCAAACCATTTTAATCTATGTGAATGATACTCTAATAAAATAATTTTTTTTTGCAAAGAATAAGAAAATATATGATTTTTAAAATAAACGCTATTTAAAACATGTGAATGAATGGAAAAATACTATATTACCTTACATCTATAATACACTTAATAAACATGTATATTTTGTAAATGTAGTATGTTGTTCACTACTGTCTCTGTTTACATTCTGATATTATAGTTTTTAAATTAAGTTTCTATCATCATGTAGACATGTTATTAGTTTTACTTTATATACATTAACAAATATTTATGTAATTATAATAAATCATTGATCTATTCATCATCATCTCCTTAGTTTCTATCTCATCTATTTGGGGTCGGTTGTACCTTAGAAATTAATAAGTTCTTACACTGGCTGTCAATCTGACGCAATCTCATTATACTTCAGATAGCCAGTATAGGAGCAGGGAGTGTGTCGCTGTTAAAGTTCCCGTATGGTCACCCATCCGGAAAAAAACAGCAAACAGAGCAGATGAATACCAGCGCTAAAGCGACGGTAGAAATATTGGTAGAATCTTGTCGATTATTTAGTAACAAATATATCGAATGACAAAATAATTTATGGTTAATTTATTCAACATTAAAAAAATAAATAGTACAATTAAAGTATAAAAAACAATAAATTCTACTTGATCAAATTATGCCAAAAATCTAAAGTTCAATATTCTTTATTTATCATTTATATCTTTATTTTTCATACATCGTTAATATTTATTACATTTCTAATTTATATGAATAAAGTATAAACAATATTTAGAAGGTATTTCTTTTACTTATCAATCATAAACAACACTGTGAAACCAATTACGCTACATTGAAACTTTCAGACTCGAGAGCTATAAAATTGGGATAGAGCATTCCCGAAAAGCACATTTGACTATAGATGCTTTAATGTGACTTTTAAAAAATCATATTTTTGTGTTTTTCCAATTTTCTATTTTTATATCATTCTTATTGGAATATTTTTTCCATTATATTCTTGATAATACCAAGATGCTTATTTTAATGTTGATTGCAATGTTAGATGATTAACTTAAGTTCAAGGTTGCGTAAGTTAATGATTTCTTTTAACTTATTAAAATTAGGCTAACTAAAATAATAAACTAATTAATTTAATAAAAGAAGTTGAAAGTTAACTTGACAAATCCTCATTAACTTATCTTAATTTGTTAAGTTAATACATGTTATTTTGCAAAAATATCATATTTATAGAGTGATATATATATATATATTTTTTAATTTTCTTTTTATAACAATAAGATTAATCAAATATGAAAAAAATGTATGGCATAATTTTATATTTATTTATTTAAAAAATATATATTTCAACCTAACCAGTGAAAATTACGTCTTATAGTCGTTTTCATGACAATATGGCGTATTTCGGTTTTGAGTTTTTTATTTTAAAAATACACATTTACTTATTTTAAGAGTTTTTATATTAAATAATTTCTATTATTTATTGAGATAATGTAGTTTTCAAAAACCAATTTTTACTGTTAGCTATACAAAAATGGTGCATTATTTTCTTTCTATTGAATAATTTCGAAAAAAATCAAGATATGGAGTTTTGCCACGGTGACAACGATATACAATAACAATAATAGTAATAATTTTTCAATAAATTTTTAGATTTAAAAAAAAAAACCTTTTTTTTGTTATATTTAGTTTTTTAAGAGATATTGAATTAAAAATATGTCAGTTAGTTGTTATTTTGAACAAAACAGAAATTAAGTTAACATAAAATCTAAATATTATCTTAATTTATTAATTTGTTTATGTCCAGTTTTAATAAGTTAAACAAACTATAATTACAATATGAATAAAACAAGAATTTTTTTATAAACATTCTATATTTCTGAGATATGAAAGGATTTAGTACAAAGTCATCACGTTATTTATTGTGTTAAATGATTTGATTATGTTAATAAAATAACGTATGTATCATTAATTTGGCTCTTTGACGTTTGTAGTCTAAAAATTCATACTCCTTGGCTATACTATTATTTTTAGTAAAAAGTGTTAGATATTTAAAGTGTTATCTTGTAAAAAGAATCTTTCTTGGCGTGAGGGTGTATTCAGAAATTTTTCTCTAATAAACTCAATTTTTTTGTAGTATATTAAATATGTATGTAATCAATTCTTTATTAAAAACATAATATAATGAAATTTATTTCATAAATGCCATAAAATATTTTTGGGAACCAGTTTAGGGGAGTTTCTTATTACCTTTCTTGAAATAGATTTTAATTAGCCCCAGTCTAAATTGACAGCATATTTGAGAGACAGACTTTATAATCTTATCGCTTTATAATCTTTATTCCATCAATTTTTTTTATTGGGCCAAAGAAACAACAGCATTACATTTATAAAAACAAAAAAAAAACATACTCTAAAATAAAAATTATAGTGTGTTCAGAGAAACAAATCTCTAAGGTTAACTTGAAGTGAATTTATAATTACTTGCATAAATTTAAGTATTATAGTTATAATACTATCTATAAATTAAATTAATACTTTGAAATTCAAAAAAAAAAAATTGTTCGTTATTTATTTCATTAATAATTGAATTGATATATTTAAATCAACTTACTTTACTCAAATTTAATTAATCATTTTATTGATGGTCGAATGGTAACCTTGAAAAGAGTATTATAATTGTCAAAAATAAAAACAAAAATGCATCAATAATATTGAATATTTATCGGTATCATACAGATAAATGTTCAATTTCCGCTTAAAGAATGTCAACGTGCTTTTACAAATAAAATAAAATGACCTTGTAAAATATATTAAAAATAATTTTGAACAAAATAATTCTAGTGTAATTTATTTTTAAATATTTTAGTCACGTAAAGATGTACTTACACTTCTTTATTTCCTATTGATAAAATAATTAATTAAAACAATGTTTATTGTTACCAAAATAAAACATAATTATTTATAAATATCAATCTGTAAACATAGGTTAAACAAAAATCCTTTATTTAAGTGGTGTAGTGTTTTTTTAAAAGAAAAGCGTTTTTAATGTATGAATAAAAATTTTTAAAATTCAATTCTAAGAACATACATGTATATTATAAAAATATATACATATTTTACCTAATCTTATAATTGAAACTGTTTTTTATTTGATTTAATTAATGTGTATATACATATTAATACGGTTGCCATGAATTTATCATTATGAGTGTATCGGAAATCGTATAATAAAAAGACGGTATCGTATTAGATCCAAAGAGTCGCAGAGTCAAATTATAACATTTAATAATCTTTTTGATTTTTTAAATTAATAACAAGAAAGTAGAGACATAATATTCTGTTATATTACAGCATTCTAAAATCATTGTATTAAAACATTTCTTTGTAAATACATTATACAATGTATAATACATTGTAAATACATAAAAATGGAGCATTTGTTGTTAATTAAATTTAGTATATCAATTATCATCCAACTAAATAGTTAATGATGTTAAATTACAGTTATGATGAAAAAATAATTTGTCGAATAAAATAAAAATTTACTTATTTCAGATGTATTACCGTATTTGGGAAAATTGTTTAATCAATATGGACCTTTAGTACATATGAATATTTTGGGCTTCTCTTATGTGTTATTAAATGATCCAGAGTACATTAAAGTAATTATGAATATATATAAAATATAATTCTATGTTATTTAATTATATAGTGTTGATGTAACATAGAGGAATTTAAAAATATAATGGTATCAACTTTATATTTTAAATGTCAATACATATTTGACTGGTTCATATAATAGAAAATAACTCAACTAAAAAAATTACTAATCGATAACAACTCTTCAACTAGTAGTTAAGGATTTATTTAGTTTTTTAAATTGATGGTGAAGTGTGGGTATGTTATTTATCTTGTGGCATCTGTCTGCTGCGCTATTCTTTTTACTTATATATAAAAAATATTTAAAACTACTGAACTACTAGTTGAAAAGTTGTAAACGTATAGCCATTTTTTTAGTTAGATGATTTTGTATTATATGATGATCTAGTTATATATGTTTTTACGTACGTACTCTACTAAAGTTTATATTACTCAACTTAAAATTACTAATCATATGAAAACACAACACAATCATCCTTAAATAATCAACTGATTTCGTTTTATTTAGAAAAGAAACAATGTCTATAATGAATAATTACATATCATATGAGTCTTACTTTAGGAACTAATATTATTAAGTAAAGAGGAAAATATAACCCTTAGGATGACGGTTGGTAACGTATTGTTACGAGCACCATTGTAAAAAATTAAAAGGACAAAGGGACAAGTATCAATTATCTTGATCTTGGTTGATAACTGGAAGGTTATGATCACCGTTGAAGATTAATTAACTTTTAAAATGGAAATTTAATATGTAAATCTTTGATCACGGTTGGTAACAGTAGATTAATACAATTACGATCACAGTTGAAAGATCAGTATTTTAAATTCAAAAGTTTAGAAAAAAAATAATGGCAATGCTTACCCAATGCTACAGCGTATAATCAATGACAATCTAGTAGGCAATTATTGCAATCACTAGACTAACATTAAAAGAAATTACACATATATTTTTATAAAAACAGTGAGGGCGTACTTTATGCCAGACGCCACTACTTGGGTCGTATAGCTTAATTGTTTATTAGTTTTTTTTGTTAATAGTTTGCAGTAAATAAATATGTTTCATTTTTATATCTTTTAAATTATAAATTTCTGTTTTGACGAATATGTAACATAAAAAAGTTAACAAGCATTAATATTTATTTTATTAAATAAAAATATATAAACTTATAATCTTCTGAATAAAAGTTTCTGTGTAGCGGACTTTCTTGTAACTGAAAAAAGTGTAATAAAGCTGTAGCATGACGTTAAATAACATTATATGGAATAAGGGATAGACTTAAAAAATATTTAACCACTCAATAATTGATTAATAAATACTACTTATTAAGGAAAATAAAAATTTTCTAAATTATTGTTATTTTAGAAAAAATCTATTAGTCAATGAAAAAATATTCTTCCAGTATACAAAGGAAGAACTAATATTTAACTGGTAACTTATTGCAATTGTTACAAATAATAAAAACGAATATTTAATTGTGTTTTAGCCTTTGTTATCAAGTCCTCATCATATTAATAAAGGACCAGAATATAGCATGCTTAAGCCGTGGTTAAACAAAGGGTTATTAACAAGTTCAAGTAAGTATTAATTATCAATTTTATACTTTAGATTTTATGATTTTAAAACGTTAAACGGTGCCTTTTTATGGTGTAATTCATTTTTGAAAAAAAATTTTAAATTTTAGGTCTCCCAATTTAGAATCTTGCCGATGCCACTGCGTATTGATAGACTATAAATATTAACTAAGTCTACTTATTAAGAGATGATAAAACCCTTATGATCAACATATACTTTTTAACATTTTAGAAATAAATGCTATAGATTAAATTATTTAAAATTTGACAAGGTATTTTCTTTACGGTATTTGGACTACTGGTAAGTCCCTCTGCCCCTACCAAAGATCTATAAAGATCTATCTATATCTAATATTTTTGTAAATATTTGAATTGTAATATAAATACTGATAACATATTATATAAAGAAGTTTATGAGTATTCACTTCATATAAATGACCTTCTATTTTGTAATAATGGCTGTACCAGATTTATTTTATGGGAATGAATTTATATTATTAAATATATAAATAAGTAATCAATGATTATATATTTAATTGATAAATTTTTAGATCCAAAATGGCATTCACGAAGAAAGCTTCTGACATATACATTTCATTTTAAAATATTGGAATCTTACATTTCTACATTTAATAGGCATGCTAGACTTTTAGCCAATGAACTTGGAAAATTTTCAGGAAACGATCAGCAGTTGTCTATTTACTCTTTTATGACATTGTGCGCTTTAGATATTGTTGGTGGTATGTAAAAGTAAATAATATATTTTTATTATAAGAGGTGTATGAATATTAGTTATATTTTTTCATTTAGAAACGATAATGGGAGTAGATCTCCGATCACAAGAAGGCAAATCAACAGAATACGTTAAAGCAATTTACACGTACGTTGTTAAATTATTATTGAAATTTTTAATTATGAATATTAAATTTATGTAATTTCACTTAGTGTTACTGACATTATGATAAAAAGAATGTTTAAGTTTTGGTTGTGGAACGAAAAAATTTTTAGCATTAGTCAAGATGGTAGAACATTTAAAAAGTCTCTTAAAATTTTACATAGTTTTACTGAAAATGTAAGCAACTTGTTTATAGTTAGAAAACTTAATAAATATGCACTATATGTTAATAAGGGGCTTAGAATATACATGAGGTGAAAGTGACAATTTTTAAATTTGAATAAAATTAAGTTCAAAGTTTTTATGTTTCAAAATCATTCTTACATATCATTTATGGCACCTCAACTTTTTTATGAATTGTAATTCATAAGATATTTATTCTAAGTTCTATAATAAATATTTTTCTAATAACTAATATTAAAATATTTTTAATAAAAACTAAACTATAATTATTTAGGTAATAAAAGAAAAAAGAACAAAGCTTGAAAAAATTAATGTAATTGCCAATGAAGAATTAAGTTTTGGTAATTAAAAATAAACATACTAATATTAATTATTTTTTGTGTAATTAAACTAGTTGAATAATTCTTATTTTAAATTTAATTTTGTTTATTCGATATTTCGAAAATGTAATATTTTATTTTTTAAACGATCTATTGACGAAAAATTTTAATTTTAGGCAAAAGACGAATAGAATCATTTCTTGAACTTTTAATTGGGATCTCAAAAAACAATCCTGAAGAAATGACGGACTTAGATATTAGAGAAGAAGTAGATACTTTCCTTTTTGAGGGACATGACACATCTTCTACTGCTTTGACTTTAGCACTAATTTTATTAGGAATATATCAAGATGCTCAAGTAATTTGACTTCAAGTTTTTAATATATTTTAATAAAAATCTCAATTTTATGCAGATTAAAAATAATTAATAATGAGACGAACTAAAATTTTTTTAATTCGAGTTAAATTTAGTTAAATCACAAAATAATTTTTTAACACATGTATTAACATTCTATAAAAATGTTTGTAATAATGTAAACATGATGAAATAAAATATCAGTTTGGCTAAACTTTGAATATTTGAACATTTTGTCACATTTTTATAAAATATTCTTAGAGTAGACATGTTTTATTTTTTTAGAATTTGGTTCGAGAAGAATTAGACTCAATTTTTGGCGATAGTGATAGAGAAGCAACTTTTGAAGATTTAAAAGCAATGTCATACCTTGAACGAGTTATTAAAGAAACTATTCGTTTTTATCCTAGTGTTCCTGGATTTACCAGAAAAATTCGACAACAGTTAGACGTCGGTAAGAATTCAAAAACGGAATTGTTGTATTATTATTTTATGGTAATATGTATAAAATTGAATATAATTTTTAATAGGAGAATATAAAATTCCTCCGAAAACTGTTGTAGTTGTTATTCCATATTTATTACATAGAGATGAAAATATTTTTCCTAATCCATTAGAGTTCAACCCAGATCGATTTTTACCAGAAGTTAGTAGTAAAAGACACCCATACTCATACTTGCCATTTAGTGCTGGTCCTAGAAATTGTATTGGTGAGTTTAAAAAAAGTCACTTACACTTATCATTAAAATAGAGTACGATTTTAAATCTTGTCATCTTTACCGTAACTTATATTTTAAGCGTGAAAAGAACCTGAATTGAACCGGTACCTTAAAATAATTTTTTATAGAATCCGAACCAATAAAAAACTATGATTCTGGTTCTGTTTGATTATTTATTCTATTTGTATAGATAATTTATAAATGAACATTTAATCTATAAAATATCTACATTAGTTAAATATAATATACTTAAGATGAGTAAGTTAATTGAAATAATTAACTGAAGTTAAGTTATGTATGAACAATGTCGATAAATTAACTGTTAAAAGTTATCAAATTATGAACTTAACTAGTTAAGTCAAAAGATAAATTGTAATTTTTTTTCAACTTAACTAATAAAAAATTTTATTTTATCTAAAATTAATTTTTTTTGTTAAAATTTCCTAAAATCATTTTTTGTCGGTCGATGATGCAAGAGAAGGTTAAAAATCGATTTTCGACTTTTAAAACTAAATAGGAAGAAAATATATTGTTAATAACAAGTATTGTTTTTATATGTTTTGCACATTTTTCTGTTGGTTACACTTTTATACGTTATCTCGTATCTTTAAATCTAGTCATTTAAAAAATAAAAGTCACATATATACAGAGACGAACAGATCTAATTAGCAACTCATATAACTTATGATATACATAACATTTTATACTTTTTTTTTTTAATCAATTTTTACAATATAGAACTATATTTAAAATATGTTTTATATTATTTTTCGCAATTACAAAAAATATTTTAATAATTAATTTTTTTTTAATATTTGAAGATAGCCATTTTATAGATAAGTTTTAAAGAAAAATTTTGATAACAAAAGTTTTTATTTTAATTCAGTAGTTACGTTTATACAGCATTTTGAAGTTTGTTAAATTTTGATTTTTTTACATTTTTCCTAAGGTATCAAATGTTAGTCCATATTATGTAAAGGACGGAAGTAATCACTTATTACGTTACTTACTAGTAACAGTACGCGATTTCTTGATGTGGTTCTGGGCTTGTTAATTATTATTAGATATTATGAGTTGAGACAAGAACATATAATAGGCCGATTTTAGTAGACACGCATTAAAGTTTGACAAAAACCATCCCTCATAAAACATGCTCTGTTTATGTTATAAATTTGTATGGTAGTCATAATAACATGTGAAATTATTGAAATTTTCATATTTTTATTTAGGTCAAAAATATGTGATGTATCAAATGAAAACAGTAATATCAACTGTTATAAGACAATTTAAAGTTGAAACATTAGGCACTCAACAAGATATTGTCATTGGATCACAGTTAATTTTGAGGCCAGAATCATTACCTGATATAAAACTTACCAAGATTCGATGAAAATTGAAAAGGAAATGGTTAAAAGTTTTAATTATTATTATGTTTACTAATATTTAACTGTATATTTATAGCTTCAAGTTATGTGTGATGATTAATTATTATATGCATTTTTAGTTATATATTTTAAAATGATTTAGTACTATGTACTATGTAGTATTTATGTAATAGACTGATGTTAATTTTTTAAAGCATATTATTGTTTGTACATGAAGTATACTTATTAAAAATATAATTTAGAATTTTACAATGATAATGTATCTATTTTAGGTAACCCCTATTTTTAATATGATAATTTTATGTCATGAACACCTTAATACATTTGAATTTTTCAACAAAAATTTGAAAAATATTTCATCATAGCCAAAAGTTTGTTTGCGTCGAGGTATATATTAAGATAAATATCTTAATATTTTTTTGTTCCAGGAATACTTTTTGGTCGGAATATTTGAGAAAAATAGATTGAAAGTATTGATCTATGTTTTCATTAAATTAAAAAAAAACTAGTAATACATTTTCATCTGCATTAAATTGAAACTCATATTAAAAGATATCAACATTTTTTTAGTGATGTTCTATCGAAAATAAAACCTTTAAACACGATTTTCTCGAAATTAAAAAATGTCACTAGTACCTCTAACATTTTAAATACCTCATTTATCAGTTAATCGTTGTAGGATCATCTTTTATAACGTATAGGGATATCAATTTTATTTTTTTTAATGGTAAAATACATATAAAATAGAAAATTATCTAAATTAAAAAAATGACTAGTCGATGACAATTTGGACTAGTACTTTGGATGTCATTCTCATTTTTATACCTGTATAGGACAAAGGGTACTGACGGGAAATGACTAGTGATAAAAATAGTAGCACACACTCTTCACCAGTTATTACTTTAATTTGTTAATAACTTTTGAAAAACAGATCCATAAGTTTTTATGAGCGGTCATTTTTTTAATTAGATTATATCCTATAATATAAGCTAGTTAAATAACATATTTAACTAGCTTATATTATATCTTATATATTAATGTTGCCATATAAAAAAATAAAAATATTTTATAAGAGATAAATTGAGATACATATGTAACTAATAGAGTTCGTCAACAATATCGATATTTCCATTCGATATCGATATCGCGGACTTTTTTCATTTTTCCAACGATATCGATATCAATAAAATATTGCATTAATCGAAAAAAAAAACAAAGTATAACTGTTTTTGATCACTCTGTTATTAGGCCAGTTAACGAAGGAGTAATTTTGGCGAATGGCGGAATAAATTCCCAATCAAATATATTTTTTTTTTAAGTTGAATTAACATATGCATAAAGACATACTAAAAGTCCTCATCGATTGGACTTGAGCTTTTTTTTTACAGCCTCGCAAAAGTTAAAAAATATGAGCTTTTTTAATTTTCTCAAAAAATATTTAACTTACAAAAAAAAGTTTCGTACAAAAGTTGTTTAAAGACAATTTTAAACAAAAAATGTATCTTATATTTTTACATTTAAACAAATATTTTTCGAGTAACATTACATTTAATATGAGTACTAAAATTTATTTTCCAATTCTTTTCATTTTACGGTTACTTTTTATCGTGTTATACTTACATTAGACAAAAGATATACAGCAACAACTGGTTAAAACTCAATCTAAAAAATAAAATGAAATTATTAAGCCCAAAAAAGAAAAATTCCCGATAGATGATAGTGACAATGTTTTATTTTGTAAAAGTTTCAATTTCATTTTTGAAAAGGAAAAAATTTGTTTTCAGTTATGATAAAGCAATAAAAAAAAAGATAAAAGTATAACTTATAGAATTTTTAGTATGTGACATTTCTGTAATTTCTGTTATAATAATATATAACATGACACGCAGGCCGTGTCATATTATATAAATTTCAAGTAAAAAAAAACCCAGCACAGGGGGGTCGCGCCACAGTGGTGACGTGGCATAGTTGGATCAAGTATAATGATATCTGACAGTGATTAAAATCACTATCAAAAAAAAACGCTTCGATGCAAATCTTTAGATAGTGTTTAATTTTAAAAAATTGGTGGATTATTCCAAAAGCTTCATAAACTGCTAGTTCCTTATTAATATCCTGATTAAGATAAAGTATGTCGAATGAAAAAGGGATTATTAAAAAATAGTATTTCCCATAAAAAAATTATATTGATCAATACACTTTTCAATAAGTTATAGCATTATAAAGTTTAAAATGTAAAAAATAAAATCGATAATTTTCACACAATAATAGCATTTGGTAGCCATTTTCACCGTGAAGACAAAATAAAGTCCGAAATTTTTTTTTTTTCATGATAAAGTATATTACATTAGCTTTAATTTAAGATATATATAAAAGTGTCAGACCTTCCGGAACACTTTCAAAAGTTAAGTTGAAAAAATTAATTTTTTGTAAAAAAGTTGTCATTTTAAATACCCCCTAGTGAGCAAGTAAAAAGTCAGATTTATAAAAAAAATATACCAAATGATAGGTAATGACATCTTGCATCTATATAAAAAAAAATTATATTGATATATTCATTTTTGAAAAATTTGCGGCACATTTTATTAAAAAAAATTGAAAAAATTTCGAAAATTAGCGATTTTTAAATTTGTAATTTTTTTGGAGGTTTCCCCCATTTACGGTGAACGGGGGAATTTTTTTCAATTTTTAAGGGTAATTTCTTCGACTAGATACGATTTGTGATCATTTGACGTATCATTGAAAGAAGTCGGTTCGGTGAGAGCTGAGAAAAAATGGTAACAGACACACAAAAAAAAAAAAACACATCTTTGTAAAACCAATACCTTCTCAGCTTCGCATGGAAGCTAATGTATACAGAACTTATATATTTTTTTATTATTATTATTCAAAACAGTATAATTCTATTATTTAATAAAGAATAATTTCATCCATTAATATAAACAATATATAAAAGGGAGTTCAGTAAGTATGGAAACGGGTTTCTATTGTTCTTATTGTTTGTAACAATAATTTAACAATTTAAATAACACTCTGTATAATGATTAAGTCTTGTACCAAAAAAAAAAAAATTATTTCTTCATAATTAAAAGTAATTTGAAAATATTTGTTTTTAGTTTGAGATATAGCTATTATCTATATATTTTTTATATTAATATTATTATCTGATTTGGTTGGTATTCCATAGTCTCATTTTTAAAATAATGGTAACTTAACGGTATTCTTGAAAATAAAAATATTTGATGAAAACATTTAAAATTAAAATCTAATTTTTGAATATAACATTTTTTTTTATTTATTTTTTCATTTCGATATTACATATAAAAATATATCGTTGATGAACCCTAGTAACTAACAAAAAAACCAAAGAAAAATAAAATTCATAAAAAATTATTATTTCAAGATAAATTGAATGGCTAGTGTAAAAGAATCACCTTGTATATATATATATATATATATATATATATATATATATACAGGTAGATGCCTTTAAAAAGTAGATCAATTCTAATATAAGACGTTTGGTGTCCCTAACGAATATCTTACATATCAAGGTTCCTATAAAAATCATCATTATCAAGAGTGAAATCGATAATAATTTACTAAGGTGAATTCATTATGATAATTACAATTAATTCACCTTGTAAATACTATATGATGTAATGAAGTGATTGTCTGAAATTTTACTTTTATCAATAAATAAAGATGAATGTGCAACAGTGTGGACACATTTTTTCATTTCCATGAGCATAACCTTAATAATTTTCCATGAAAGTAATGTAATCAAAATGGACGTTCTCCCTGCGCCCCGATCCCCGTTTGTTATTATTATTCGTCAANGTACCAAAAAAAAAAAAATTATTTCTTCATAATTAAAAGTAATTTGAAAATATTTGTTTTTAGTTTGAGATATAGCTATTATCTATATATTTTTTATATTAATATTATTATCTGATTTGGTTGGTATTCCATAGTCTCATTTTTAAAATAATGGTAACTTAACGGTATTCTTGAAAATAAAAATATTTGATGAAAACATTTAAAATTAAAATCTAATTTTTGAATATAACATTTTTTTTTATTTATTTTTTCATTTCGATATTACATATAAAAATATATCGTTGATGAACCCTAGTAACTAACAAAAAAACCAAAGAAAAATAAAATTCATAAAAAATTATTATTTCAAGATAAATTGAATGGCTAGTGTAAAAGAATCACCTTGTATATATATATATATATATATATATATATATATATATACAGGTAGATGCCTTTAAAAAGTAGATCAATTCTAATATAAGACGTTTGGTGTCCCTAACGAATATCTTACATATCAAGGTTCCTATAAAAATCATCATTATCAAGAGTGAAATCGATAATAATTTACTAAGGTGAATTCATTATGATAATTACAATTAATTCACCTTGTAAATACTATATGATGTAATGAAGTGATTGTCTGAAATTTTACTTTTATCAATAAATAAAGATGAATGTGCAACAGTGTGGACACATTTTTTCATTTCCATGAGCATAACCTTAATAATTTTCCATGAAAGTAATGTAATCAAAATGGACGTTCTCCCTGCGCCCCGATCCCCGTTTGTTATTATTATTCGTCAATTCGTGTTTTTATCCGCTGAAAATTAATTTGTTCTTTTAATTTTATCGCGCTCAACTTTATTTGGAATCCACGTGAAATTATATATTATATTATTGATTCGTTTAGATTTCAATGATTTTACAGTAATTGTATTTAACGTATGCGTTGGTCTTAAAAACGAAGACGACACCATAAATACTTATAACAAATGGCTACGACTACTTTACCTTCCGGAGAACCCGTATCTGAAGACACTTCTCTTTACCCAATTGCTGTACTGATAGACGAATTGAAAAATGAAGATGTTCAAGTAAGTTATTACGACATTATTATGAATCATATTACCAAGTTAATATAGCTATTGTACAATTGTATCATGAATTGTTTACCAATTGGTTTTACCCATGTTTTAGTTGACATATCTGTCAGACATCTGAAAGTCGTAATTAATTATTAGTGTTCTGTATTTTAAATATATAAACAGATATTTTTATAAAGTTTTTAGCTTAGAATTGATACGTATATGATTTAACATACATAACAGTTGTTATTTCCTAGATTTACATTTTTTTTTCAACAGAATAAACTAATTTTCGGCTAATTATTAATTTTAAATTTATACATTAATTGTATATATTATAATTAATATATAATACCAATTTAAAATAAAACAATAATTTATATATTTTTAATTGGTTTAATGAAAATTCATATTTTTGTTATCAATTTTGTAAAGAACTGGTGTATTTCCATAAAATATTAAATAAAACTAATGAACACAATAAATGTCAAATTATTTTAAACAATTTATTTTCAATGTTTTAAATTTGATAGTTCAATTCAAATAAATCAATGTATTTTAAACATTTTTAAGTTTTTATTAAATTTTTTTTAGAATATTTTAGTGAAATACTATATATTTTGTTGACATTATTGTAATTTTTCAATCATTATTGTTAAATTTTTATATTTACAGTTACGCTTGAACTCTATAAAAAAACTATCCACAATTGCTTTAGCACTTGGTGTAGAACGTACTAGAGTAGAACTGATTCCATTTTTGACTGAAACAATTTATGATGAGGATGAAGTTTTGTTGGCTTTAGCTGAACAACTGGGAAATTTTACTAATTATGTAGGAGGTCCAGATTTTGCATACACCTTATTGGTAGTTATCCAAAGTTACATCATAAAGTGAACAGTTTATAAGTTCATTTTGAAATGTGTTTTTTTCATTGTAGCCCCCTTTGGAGTCCTTAGCTACAGTTGAAGAGACTGTCGTGAGAGATAAAGCAGTTGAATCTCTACGTCAGATAGCTGTTTTGCACACCGTAGCTGATCTTGAAAATCATTTTGTTAGTCTTGTGATTCGTTTGGCATCAGGAGACTGGTTTACTTCACGCACATCAGCATGTGGTTTATTTTCGGTTTGCTACTCACGTGTAAATCCCATGATTAAATGTGAGCATTTAAAGTTAATTGTATATTTTAATTAATCATAGTACCTAGGTACTTAATAACTTATCTTAGGAATTAAAATTTAATTATTTTAATTAATAGCGGAGTTACGTAATTACTTTCGAAATTTATGTCAAGATGATACTCCAATGGTAAGACGAGCAGCTGCAGGAAAGTTGGGAGAATTTGCCAAGGTTGTGGAATTAGATGCTTTAAAAAATGATCTTATACCTATGTTTTCCTCTCTAGCTCAAGATGAACAGGTATAAAAATGTTTGGATATATTTTTGTTGTGTATTTTATTATATTATTTATATTTTTATTTATAGATTGCATATATTTAAATTATTATTATGTTTATAAATTAGGATTCGGTTAGACTTTTGGCTATTGAAGCTTGTGTTAGTATAGCCTCGTTACTTACTCATGAAGATGTTAATGATTTAGTGATGCCAACTTTACGATTATGTACATCTGATAATTCTTGGAGAGTACGCTATATGGTTGCAGATAAATTTACTGAGGTAATTATATTTGTTTGTTTTATTTATAAAATTAATAATAATTTTCTATAATGTATTAGTTACAAAAAGCGGTTGGTCCTGAAATTACCCGCATTGATTTAGTACCAACATTTCAATCATTGTTACGTGATACTGAGGCTGAAGTTAGAGCAGCTGCTGCTAATAAAGTTTGTGATTTTTGTCGTAACTTATGTCCTACAGTTGCTTCAGCCACATTAACTAATGATCCAAATACTACACAAACATCTAATGCTGTTGACTCTATTATAATGACTTCCATTTTACCTGTAGTCAAAGGGTTAGTAGCAGACACAAACCAACATGTCAAATCAGCTTTAGCATCAGTCATTATGGGATTATCCCCAATCCTTGGCAAACAAAGGTAATATTAACATCAGTTTACCCTTATTCTATTGTATTGTAATTATTTTTTAATATTATTATAGAACTTTAGATCACCTATTACCATTATTTTTAACTCAATTAAAAGATGAGTGCCCAGAAGTACGTCTAAACATAATATCAAATTTGGATTGTGTTAATGAAGTTATTGGAATTCAACGAGTAAGTTTTATATGCTTTGAAATTATTTAATCTAGATTAATTAAATTTTTTTTCCAACAGCTATCTGAAACATTATTGCCAGCAATTGTAGAACTTGCTGAAGACCCTAAATGGCGTGTACGTTTAGCAATTATTGAATATATGCCACTTTTAGCAAGTCAACTAGGTGTCCAATTTTTTGATGACAAACTTAATAGTTTGTGTATGACATGGCTTATTGATCATGGTAATAAATTCAAATCTATATTATTTTGTTTTGTTTTTTTTTTATACTGGAAAATAAAATAATTTTTATATGTATTCTTAAATAATGCTTTATTTAACACGTGTCTAAAAATAAAATTAGCATTTTAAGTTAAGCACATAAAAATTTTCATTCAGCTTTTAATATACTTTAATTTCATTAGATTAAAAATTTAGAAATCATAGATAATATTTATTTTAAAAAGTTAATGATTAAATTAAGAATGTTAAATATTTATTGTTATTGAGTTTAAGGAAGTTTTTATTAAAAATTATGATCCTTAAACAAGTGTGTCATATTATATTATATTTTAACTAATTATTTCAATGGTTATATTACCATTGAAATAAGTATTTATTATTAATTAAAAAATTACTGTTACAAGAAAACTTAACAAGTTAGTATCATAAAATTTAATAAAATAGTAAAAAAAATTGAGTTACAAATTATTTCTCTATACCTAAAGAAACATTTAAATTTTCATAATTTTAATTATGTGTGTGTAGTAATTTTACTATTTAAAAACAACATATATTGTTTTAGTATATGCTATTAGAGAAGCAGCTACGTTAAATTTAAAAAAATTGGTTGAAAAGTTTGGTGCTGAATGGGCTCAAACATCAGTGATTCCAAAAGTCATATTAATGGCTAGAGACCCTAACTATTTGCATAGAATGACATTTTTGTTCTGTATTAATGTATGTATTGAAACTCATATTTAATTAAATTATTATATAATTATTATTAAATAAGACAAAAAATATATTTATAAATTATAGGAATTAGCAGAAGTATGTGGTCCAGAAATATCTGCTAAAACTATGTTACCAACTGTTCTTTCTATGGCAAGTGACAGTGTTGCTAATGTACGTTTTAATGTTGCCAAAACACTTCAAAAAATTGGCCCGATTGTTGCACAATCGTATGTATAAGATTAAATTTTTATAGTAGAAGTTAAATTATTAATTAAAGCTGTAATTATTTTGTATGTACAATGTGTATAAATTTTTTTATGAAAAATCTATTATTTTATAATCTCTAAAATCAATTATTTCAAATTTAAATGAATAAATTAAAAAAAAATTTATATACGTTAGAAATTATATAACTACCTTTGTTAAATAATTCTTTCCTAAAACATGTGTTGTACTTAAGAAGAAAAAAAAAGTAAACAAAGTGAAAAACTTTCAAGTTCTATTCTTTAGAATTAAATTTATGTTAGCAATTATGTATATTAATATTCTAATGAATTTTCCTGTTAACTATATGTAAAGCCTTGATGTATTATATTTCCCTATTTATCATGTTTCAGGGCTGCTGTAAAATCCCAAATTAAACCTGTGCTAGACAAATTAAATACAGATACAGATGTTGATGTCAAATATTTTGCTGCTGAAGCAATGTCAATAATTGCGTGCAACTAATATTATTTTATTATTGTTTTATGTGTATCAATTATTTGGCGCCCAAATTATTAAAACATGTTACTACAGCTTATGCATTTTTCTCCCAATTCTATGCATACTATGATTTTTTTTTATTAAACTAATACAAATATTATTATAATTATTATCATTTTTGTAGATTATTTTAAACAAAAATTGTGAAAATGATAATTTATTATGTTAAGTCAAATAATCAATAATATTATATAAGTAGATACTATGCTGTAATTAATATTATATTTTAATTCAATAATGGAAATGTTTTAATTATAGATTGAAATTCTAGAATTTTTGTTAATTTTACAGCTCCGACATTTAACAACTAGATTAAATTATTACTTTAATCTCTGTATTTAAATTTATTGAATAGAAAGTTATTCGTAATTAATTTACTTAAGTAATGTAATAATGAATATTGTTTTCCTAATGTTATATTTATTTATACATACATACCTTCTAAGTAATTATTTTCTCAAATTTATTTATTTTACCTGATTTATAAAATCTTTCCTAATTGCATTTGTTTGGGTTTTTTCTTGAAAAACGTATCAATTTTCTGTTTTATGAACCGAGTAGAATAAATCAATGTTGAGTATGGGTGAAAAAAAATGTATATTTAAAAAAAACTTCATTATTTGATTAGGGAAAAATATACAAAGTCAAAAATATCACCAATATTTTGTTATAATCTTTTTTCTCTCTCATCTAATTGTCTTGCACTAAAACTAAAACGATTTAAGTTTTAAATACCGTCCCTAGCATTCGCTTGTGTGTCAAGTCCTGTTTTTAATTAACAGTAGCAAATAAATTTTTGTTACCAAGTATTCAAATGTTTTACGGATAGAAAAAATATTTGATTGTATAATTCATCGATTTTATATTATAAATTTAATTGTGCCATTTTATTATTGGTTAAGTAGTTTTTATTGAAACAAGCGACTAAATTTAGGCGACTTGACAATTGTTGATTCTTAGTACATTGATAAACAATATATCATGGACCGTAATTAACGTTGCATTAATCGTTAAGTCCATTACAGTTGATTGTAGTAGGTTTGCATAAGCTGACATCGAACGCAATTTGTAGGTAAAACAGATGTGTAATTACACGTGGTTATCCATTCTGCCTCTACACGAATCGAGACGATCAATTACCTCAGGAATCCCGCGGTCGCGATGACGTCGTCCGTACCACACCCGTTTCTGTGCGGTGATTTATCCTGCGGGAGATCGTAGATAACAGGAAAACACACAAGCAGCAGCACGAAAATGAATGTACAACGGTCGCACAGTTGTTGTGTAAAGGTAATTATACACCCATAAATACCTGTAGGTACGAAGTATATATATATATATATATATCTGTAGAGAAAGAAACGAGCGACATGATGACCCGCGTGTGTGCGGCCGCTGACGGTCGTTTGTTCTAAAGGGGATTAATCCACTACAGGTCGTCGTCGATAGCTGCTGTCGACAGTCCCGAACAATCCATTAAGACATCCCGTGTAACGATAATGTGTAATTCACTGCACTGTTCTGGCGCACAAATCGCGGTTGTCAATTAGTGACGGTGAGGTATCGGGTACCGAACGCGGGTAATATACAACGCGTATATATACACACGCTCGGGTATATTATGTTATACGTGTTGCGCAGGAGATGTCCGTAATACCACCCGCAGCACATAACGATGTTATATGGTAGCATTCCGAAACACCAACCGTTGGACATTCCAAACATTTTCCCTGTGCGCGCTGCCACCCGCACGTTATGTCGTCGACCCTCTGATCGGTGTACGGCCACTATGTGCGTTAGGGATATGTGTCTGAATTAGTCCGGTTGAGACAAAGTCCAAACAAAATTCGATCCGATTCGGCCGATAAGCGTTTTCCGATACAATGAAATTAGACACACACCCCTGTGGCTAACCGCATCAGTGAAATACTTTCGGCAATCGGAAAACACTTTGAACTGACTCTCATCTATAAATTTTATCTGTTCCGAACATCAATATTTGTTTTGCTCAAATGCATCATAAACGGTTCACTAGGAAATCTATACGTTTCAAAGAAGGCGTTACATTTGTCGACCCCTCTAAAAATATCACTAAATTATATTCACTGGTAAAAAAAAGAAAAAGATCCATCGACAGTTTAGCTAAACATTCAGTTCCCATTAAATAATTACTATTAAGTTTTCGAAATCCTTTGCGAATTTTCCAGGTTTGTTACGTTATTTCTCTCCTTTTCATCAGATAAAATAAAAAAAACCGTAACTGTAAAATGACACTTCAAAATTAGTAATTGATAATCCCTCCAAAAAAAAAAAAGGTTAAGATTGTGATACGCCGAGTTAAGTATATAGAGTCAACTGATGGACGAATCGGGAAATCCGGTATGAGAGAATAAAAAATAACCCGAGTGATGATTGTAGAATTAAGTCGAAATACTTTTAGGAGTAATGGTAACTATTTTACCAATATTGAGTTTAGCGGATAATGTCTTCAACGGTAAAAAGCCAAACAAAGTCGAACTTGTATCATTAAAACCTATTTTACCAACTCATAGTCTTACGTTGCATTATCTTCTCGACGAAATCGTTAGTATTCTTTTTAACCACTGCACTCGTGTCACACTATCCACTGGACGACAAGAGTTTTACGGTTTTTTACGAATGAAAAACGATCATTATTCCACGTGCTATTCGCTATTCGGCATTCCATTATGGCGCTTAAGCAGCTAGTTTCCTTAACAGTTGATTGCCATCAACTGAAGTCGCGTGCTGTTCATTTTGCAAACGTTTTATATTCAGACCGCACAATTGAATGACTGGTCAAATACTCATTACCTTTAGACCGGTCACGGTTAGATGCGTGGAATCGTTGATGATATTAAAAAATTGCTTAGACCGAGGAAAAACACGCTGCGTTAACACAAAACAATCGAATTTTAATGTGTAATCAATATGACGAAATTAGTAATTGTGATTTCAAGATCGATATTTCGGAGCCATTTTATTGTTGACATATTTTTATACATTCACACTACAAGTATAGTAAATTGTATTTTGATTTCATTTAATATTATTGAGAAGAAGTAATAGCAAAAGATAAATAAATAATAAAAATTATTTTTCTTTTTATTAAAATTAACAATAGTCAATACATATTCATATAATTTTTTTTTTTTTTTAGTGGTAAATAAAAACACAATATGTCCATAAAAGTATTTTAAAGCAATAAATTTTCAAATTTTATTAGAATTTTTAGTGTTAAACAACAGATTATAAAAATATAATAGATACAACATTATATTTATTGTTTCCATTGTAACATGAAATAATAACGGAGTCGAACCACAGTGTTAGAAAAAAAATTGTCTTGCATCATTATGTTTACCGGGCCAACAAATGACTTTTGTTGTTCATTAATTCAATTATTTGAGACTATTATTAACATTACGGGGGTTTCGATTTTATAAAGGCCTAAATTTTTTTAGTCATAATAACGTAAGCCCCCCGATTAATTAATTTAAATAAAACATACTCGGTTTTTGAGTTTCTGTGAAGTTAGGAATTGTTCAACATTTTTTGTGGTCTTTTAATTTTAACTCGAGCGGTTGTCTGATCCGCTTTTGTTTCGATGTCCGAGTGACTCGAATAGAAAAACCTTGTGTTTTCAAAATTGATTATATAAATTAAGATTAAAAATGTCTTCGTCTGAAAAAGGCTGTTTGGCTGGATCGCGTCGATTTACCCGTTTGATGTCTTTATCTCGTTTGTCGATCACAAGCCACCTGGTCGTTATAGTCAGACAAACTGGTCAGCAGAACTGTTTTTTGATACGTAATAATGATCGGTTAGTGTATGTGACTAGAACACGAGATAATATTGTATCCATAAAGCGCAATAGTTATCTTGTAGGTGGCATTGCCCAAGTATAGGCAAACGATTATTATTATTATATTTCCCGGTAATATTATGGTAGTACAACGGCTTCATGATGAATCCCATCGGAGACATCACAAATAATGGATAGCTGACCATAAAAAGGTGGAACATACATTAGGTAGTTGGTATTTTGTTACCAATTATATTTTACATCATATGGAGATCTATTTTTTTTTTTACTTTTCTTTGGAAAATTATGGTTGTAAAAGAACAAAGCCGTACTATATCATTAATGTAGCAAAAAATGACTATTTCAAGAGTTATCATATAATTCCTGTGATTTTACAGATTCCGGTGTAATATTATATCATTACACATACATGTCGATTATAGGTATGTGTTAACAATAATAGTGTATCCATAATTGGTGTATACATTAAGAATAAACCGGCAATGATTTGTTATAACGTTGTTTAAATGTTTTTCGTTTATTTGTTGACTTTTTATAATCAAGAAGTCACTTAAAACGAAAATTATGAGATACCAAGTATAACGGATTATTTATTGAAAATAAATTATGAATAATATAAATGGCGTCTTAATTGTAAATAATAATTATTATTTTTTTTTATATGAATAATATTCTTAATAACAACGTAGAATTTTCTTTCGATAAAGCTTAAAAAAAAAGAAGAAATTTTAACGGAAAACTTTATTTCGATCAGAGTTAATTATTAAGCTTAAATAGAATCTTTATGCGCTTGAAATTCCGTTACCCGATCATAAAAAATTGAGGTTCTATTAGTCATAAAATGAACAGTTCGTGTACCGTACTTATTCGTTTGTATATTAATAAAATATTATCATCTTGTCTCTATTCGGGGGACACATTTCTGGCTAGACTTAAAGTTGTTATTTGGAAATATTAAATTCGTATTAATTCATGGAAATACGAAACTCATTTTTGGTGCTGGCTAGTAAACTTTCTAGACAGTTTATCGAGTAAAGATGATGAATTCCTCAAAAATAAATTTCATTGGAAATTCTAAAGGGCGTTGGTCTTTTTTGACGGACGACTATTATGCGATCGATTCGGCCGAATAGGATAAATATCTCAATATTCGCCATACTAAAGAAAAATAACAGAAAACAAAATAACAACGTCACGGCCTTTGAGTGTATAAAAGCAAAAGCGCGCGTGTGTGTGTGCGTTAAGAAAAAACGGGCAGTGTTACAAAAATCGAAGCTGCAAGACGTGGCGCCAGCGGCCGTCTGAAAGGGATGTTTTATGAATGAAGTTTTTGGTATGTCGCCCACGTGGAATGCGAATATCCCTTCGCAGCGTGCGTGTAACTGTATGGTCCCGGAGTTTTATTCTGACCGGCGGGGAGGTGGTGCGGGGGCGGGAGGACCATTGACGTGGCGCCAGCGTATTCCCGACAAAGGATTAATAGCCGTTGGGATCCAAAGAATACTTTTTCCACGTACATAAAGCGCTACCAGAGCCGCCGATATGATTCATAACACAATAACAACAACTTGAATGCATCAGCAAAGGCCAAAACACATTGATTTACAA